CACACACACACACACACACACACACACACACACACACACACACACACTCATTCATTCATTCATTCTTACATTGGCATGCCTAAAAGAGAATTCTTCTTTCCCTCCAAACCTGCTGACCTTTCAGTCACCCAAGTTCACAGCTTTCAGAATTATTCTCAGCTTATCATCCTTTACCCCACATAATCGTCAGTTAACAAATCTATCCACTCCTACAACATTCTCAAATATAGCTCTTTTCTTTTCACACTTAGCCATTACTCTGTCTCAGCTCCTTATCACCTATAATCTGGACTACTGTAATAGCTTATTAATTGGTTGTCCTGCTTCATGTTTTTCCCTTTTTTACACAGCTACTGACGTGATTTTTGTTTGACATTTAAAGCCCTTCACAACTTCACTTCAACTTAACTTTCAGCCTTATTATAAGTTACTCTTCTTCAAGCACTGTTCAGTCCGGCTAAATTGGCCTTACTGCCATTTCTTACCTAAGACAACTCCATCTCTTCTCTATGCCTTGGTACAGACTGTCTCCCATTTGCCTGGCATGCACACATTCTTCACTTCCACCTGTTAGAACCCCTGGTTTCCTTCAAAGTTCATCTCAAGCACTTCTATAAGAATCCTTTCCTATTTTTCTTTAAGCTGCTATGTTCTCCTAAAAACATTTCTCTCCTCTCTCACTCTCATATATATATATATTTGTGCATGTATGTGTGTTTTATATGTTGTCTCCCATGACAGATTGAAGCCTCTTAGGACAGAGATGATTTCCTATCTTTGTATCCTCAGTGCTCCATGCAGTGCCTGTCACATAATAGGCCATTAATAAGTATTTATTAATAGATTAATGGTATTTCACAGTTGAACTGAAATGATATTTCAATTCATTGGTTAATCAGCTAACATCTTATGTTTTTATCTGGTTTAACATGGAATAACAGGGACAAAAGTATTTCTCAGTGTTATCTTTTTTATGCTGATTTGGTAGATATGATTCGTCGCAGAAGTTTAAGAACCCGTGCTATCAAGATGTTGGTTTTGGATGAAGCTGATGAAATGCTTAATAAAGGTATGCTTGGCTAAGGGTAAAGAATAATACTTTTTGTACCCTCCTAAATTTGCGAATGTATTTAATAACTTGAAAAATGGGGTAATTAGGGACATAAACCATGTTCATATTTACATGAGACTGTCATGGTCAGAAAGTGTATGGTCCTATCTGATCAGATTTAGTATTGCTAGTTTTGTTACCACAGTTGGCTAAAAACACAGAGTAGGATAAGACCGAGGTTTTCAGTTTAAGTCTGATTTACACCAGTTGCATTTTTTTTTCTTGCCTGTACATTATATCCAGCTAATGCCAGCCAGCTATTCTGTAAATAACTAATATTGTTCAAAAAGGAGCACTGGGCTTTGGAGTATATATGGATTGGTGTAAATGTTGGAAGAACAATTCAACATATACTCTGTGAAGGACAACACATTTTTATTTTCCTTGATTTACCATGGTGAAATATAGTAAAACACATATTTAGGTATTTTTATGTATCTATTTTAGTTTCCTGTTAGCAAATTCATCTATTTGGCATTGTTCCCAATAAACTCTGCTTCTTTACTTGATCTCAGAGGACAAAAATATCTCTTATGATTCTGTTTTATTTATTTGTATCTGGCTAAAGGTAAATTGTGAGACATTATGCAAGAGAAAAGAAGAATAATTGATAAATCTCAGTAGTGAAAGGAGATGGATCAGAATCATAGTTTTAGCAAAGAAGAGAGATACTTCCTTCTCTTAGTAAGGCCTCTAGGAAGAAACATTAATCTGAGAGCAAAGGCAGTATAGAGTTGTGGGCTTTATGTTTGTGGAAAAATATTGGATGCACCATAGTGGGGGGGAAGGTACTAAAGAGGAACAAGAGATAAAAGAATTAAGTGTCACTAAGAACCCATCTGAGGTTAAATAGCATAAATTAGTGGTGGACCCAGTCATTCAGCCCCATAACCAATGATGTAGGATCTTTGGGTAATTGGGATGTGTGGGTGTGTCTGTCTGTCTCTTTGGTTAAAGATTCAGCTATACACGTGGTTGAGAAAAATTTTAGTACTAGATTTGAAGTGGGGGAGGGGGGCCACTGAGGTGTTCTTGTCTGAATACTGCCACTGAGTGTCTTTGTTGCCTTGAAAGCCACTTAATCTCCCTAGGTCTTAGATAGGTTATGTGTGGTGTTTTGGAGAGAATGCTAAATAGGAATTTAGGGTGTTTGGATTCAAATGTGAGCTCAGTCACTTAACTATCTGGGTCCACTTAGACAAGTCATTTATCCACCATAGACTAGATAGCCTCTTTGGTCCCTCCCGGTTCAAAATGTATGCTTAAAGGTTATTCAACAGCTGAGAAAAGTTAGGCCCCAGAATATTATGTGAATTGTTGGTAGTCACACTATCAAAGTAAAGACCATAACCTGGGTCTAAATGCTTTTTCCTTACCCCAGTCTGCCTTGAGAGACTTGTCCCAGATAATCTCTTATATATCCCTTCTACAGATCATATAAATTTATCAGAAATTAAAGCTGTAAAAATTTGTTTTAGCTTTCTAATTTGAAGAGACCCCAGAAGTTATCTGGTTTATGCCAACTACTTACTATGCTTGCTATATATTACCTTGGGTAAGTCACTTAACCCTCCCTGGCTCTCAGTTTCTTCATCTTTAAAATAAGGGAATAGGCCTAGAAGTCTGCTGAATCCCTTTCAGCTCTAAATAGATGCACCATGAAGCACAGTAACAATTATGATGCCTATTTACATATGTTAATTTGTTCCATTTGTATTATAAAACTAATGTACTAATGAACTAATGTTCATTTATGCACATTCTGTTAGGTGTATTACTCAAGGTCATCTGCTCACAAAGTTTTTGATCTATATGTGTGATGTTATGAGTTTGGGGAAATCTTAGAATGCAGATCAATTCATCTGAAACTGAAGAGTCTTAGATATTTTCTTGGGGCACTGTGAGAAGGGAGGTGACTTGTACATGGGTCACACACAGCTAGCATGTGATAAAGAATATAAAACCATTACACTCAACAATACAATGGAAAAATTAGAAGGAATATCATTCCTGAATGATTTGATTTTTCTTACTAGGGTTCAAGGAACAAATTTATGATGTGTACAGATACCTGCCTCCAGCTACCCAGGTAGTTTTGATCAGTGCCACATTGCCTCATGAGATCTTAGAAATGACCAATAAATTCATGACTGATCCAATTCGCATCTTGGTAAAACGGTAAGTGACCTTGGAATTGATTTTCCCTGGTTAGTATAGTATCTAACTCATTAATGATTTGGACCATTTGTTATAATTATTAATGTTAACTATGTAATACTCAGATTTGTTTTTTTAAGTTAGGAGAACTCTACTAGTTGTTCATCTAACCCAGTTCTAATGTCAGATAGTTAATATTGCACATTTATATATGGTGACAATACACAGTTGTAAAGGTTGTATAATGTTGAAATATTCGTTATGCTGGAAAGTTTTAAGCTTTTATTATTTAGTGACATTTCTGGTGAAGGTCAGTTAGTAATGTGCCTAATTATCTCAAGTTGAATTGGTGTTGTGTTGGTAAGAGATTTTGCAGGTATTACAGTTCCTCAAAATATGATCAACATTAAAGAGTTTTGTGTAATTTTTTTAACTTTTTTAAGTGATGAATTGACTCTCGAAGGAATCAAACAGTTTTTTGTGGCAGTGGAAAGGGAAGAATGGAAATTTGACACTTTGTGTGATCTTTATGATACCTTGACCATCACTCAAGCAGTCATCTTTTGTAATACCAAGAGGAAGGTATACAATTCATTTTTTGCCTAATTGGGAAAAAATTGGGGGCAGGTTCCATTATTAACTTTAATTATGATGTTTAGGGGCATAAGAAAGTAGTCATTTCTTAATTTGCCCTTATAAGACATGCCCAATTTTATCTACTAACAAAAATTCATTTCATCTTCTCTAACTTTGAGGTATGGGGACTCAGTATTTACCCTAAGGCAGTGTTACAGTGCCAGTACTTTCTAAATAAAAATCCATTAACTATTGCTATGTGGGGTGTGTGGTAGGTGACTCCTATTTCCTTTTCCTGGTGAGGGTTGGGAAGTTGTGATTCCTGTGGGTTATAAAATCAACTCATTTTTTAAGACTCTTTAGTATTGGAAATATTCATGAGACCTTTTAATGACATGAACTATATTCCAGTTTATTTCAGAATAAGGAAAAATGCTGAGTGGCAATAGTTTCGTTTTTCCATAAAAATTATTATCAAACCACAAAATTGTGTGGAGCTTATATGAGGTCTCAGGTCTCACAAAATAATATTCTGATTGGTCACAGCTGGGCAAAATTACATTTTCTAAAACACCCCATTAAATTGAATACAGTTTTTATGTGAAGAATGGTTACTTTTCTACCATTCTTTTATTTACACTGCTGGTTGCCAAACTAACACTGAATTAAAATCTTCAGGTTTGGTTAAACCATATATCTATGAGCTTAACCTTGGTTCTGGTTCTTTTGCTTATAGGTAGACTGGCTGACTGAGAAGATGAGAGAAGCCAACTTCACCGTTTCATCAATGCACGGAGACATGCCCCAAAAAGAGAGAGAGTCTATCATGAAAGAGTTTAGATCTGGTGCAAGGTTAGCATAATTCAGTAGAAATGCTACAATCAGGGCAACCTTAAAGAGAGGGTAGTGGTAGGGTATGATGTGATTGCTTATGTAATGTGACTTGAGGCACCTCCTGAGAGGCTCTTATTGTTTCAGAATACTACCAGTGTATCACAGTGCCTATTTTCACTTCAGGAGATCTCTTTACTTTGTCTTTTGTACTAAAGCATTGATATGTCCAGGAATGCTTTTTTTTTTTTAAGGGCAATTGGGATTAAGTAACTTGCACAGGGTCACACAGCTAGTAAGTGTCAAGTGTTTGGTTTGAGGCCGAATTTGAACTCAGGTCCTCCTGACTTCAGGGCTGGTGCTCTATCCACTGTGCCTCCTAGCTGCCCCCCAGGAATGCTTTTTTAAGATGCCCTCCAGCAATAAGGATGAATACAAACAAATCTATTCATGCTGTATCCTAGGTTATTCAGTAAACTTCTAAGTGCATACTGCAAATAAGGCCCTATTTTAGGACACTAGAGATATAAACGTGGAAGAGTCTGGATGTGAAATGAGAAATTAAATCTACAAGATAAAAACCAGTCAGAGACTAGCAAAATAACATACAAGTCCCTGTGGGAAACATGGATTTAATAATTTGAGGGTGAGGTTAGGCCCAGAGCTAGTATAGGTGGAAGCTTTGCAATGAGAAGTCCTTGACATACTAGAGGATACCATGAAGTCTTAGTATGGCGTAGGGATACAAAAAAGAGATAAAAGAATGTCAAACTTCATAATTTAACCTGGTGTCAGGAAGACCTGAATTCAAATCTAGTGTCAGACACTTAATAGCTGTCTGACTTTGGGCAAGTCAGTTACCCTCTTTTGCCTCACTTTCCTCATCTGTAAAATGAGAGTAATAATAGCACCTACCTCCCAGGGTTGTAAGAAGATCAAATGAGATGTTTGTAAAGCTCTTTGTAAACCTTAAAAGCATGACATAACTGTGCGATGATGATGAAGAAGAAGATGATAATTATGCTTAGGACCAGCCCATATTAGTCTTTTTTCCTTTACCGCCTAGATTCTCTATATTTTAATTCTCAATTTCTATACTTTTATTTTAGGAAGTTATTTTTCCCTTTTCCTTCAAACTAAAATAATGTAGCCAGCAGAAAAGCATGTGAAGGGATAATGTGGGTTTGAATTTCAAAGAAACTGCAAGACAGTGTAGGTGTCTACCTGGTTAGTTAATTGTATGCATAGGTGATGGATTGAGAATAATAAAATAAAGTCCTGTTTTTACATTACTTGGTAAAGCAGTGGCTCAGGAAATGAAAGGAGACTAGTACTGAATAGCCACATTTAAGAGGAATCTTATGTGGTACAGAACAGAAATAGGCAAAGAGAGTTTCTTAGGTGATGTGCTAGAGGCATAAGAAAAAAACTCGTTACAGCACAGCTTTCCCCCATAATTCTTCTTAAACCTGCTTTCAGTGCACTTGTCTCCACCAAATCAAGGTTGGCAGTATTGCAGGGCTGGTGGGAGAATTATTTTTTTAAACTATTTGCCCAGCTCATTTAAAAGTAATGTAAGCCAACCAAGATTTATGTTAAGGCTTATATTTTATACAACTATTTTTCGTTTTTTTTTTTTCAGCCGAGTACTTATTTCTACAGATGTCTGGGCTAGAGGATTAGATGTTCCTCAAGTCTCTCTTATCATTAACTATGACTTACCAAATAACAGAGAATTATACATACACAGGTACTTGAATGTGTTTTTTTCCTTATTATTTTCTTATTGATATATTTACTGAATAATTATAACTAAATCTTTTTTGTTTTCTTCTTAAAGAATTGGGAGATCAGGTCGATATGGCCGAAAGGGTGTTGCGATTAATTTTGTAAAAAATGATGACATCCGTATTCTCAGAGATATTGAACAGTACTACTCAACTCAGATTGATGAAATGCCCATGAATGGTAGGTATATCAGGAGGTCAGCCTCAAAAATTTTATATCCCTGATCTATGGTATAGAATATTTTTTGAGATTTTTAGGAAATTGTAATGTTGTCGTCCATTATACGTTTTTTGTTCACTTTTTTATAGCCTTATTTCATTTATACTTCATTTCTATTTTAGTTGCTGATCTTATCTGAGGAAACAACTTTGAAGACCAGTTGGAGACTATTTCCCTAGTTTTATACTACATTTGGAGGTTGAAGAGCTTACTGTATGCCATATAGGTACAACTTTTATTTAATAAGAGGGTTTATTTGTGTTAAACTCTCTTCACCCAACTCCTGCCCCACAAGCTGCTCTTTGTGGGATTTCTGCCTGCCTGCGTGTAAATTATGCATTAAGTCTGTTTTTTCATTAAAAAATGAGAAATTTTCACATAAAGTCCAATTGACTTCACTTCTTTTAAGATTGTAGCAATTACTATAGTAGAGAAAATGTATTATAAAAATATACATTGTACTTTCTCCTTTGGTTGCTTCACATAGTATGGAATTCTACTTTTTTGCTTGGTGTAGCAATAAAAAGAACATGGAGCTAGGATTCAGAAGACCTGGTCTTTCCATTAACTTGCAGAATTTGTAACTTCAGGCAAGGTTTAACTTTTCTACATCTGAGTTTCCCCATGAAACTCATGGAGATGATCATATTATCATGAAGATGACAATATAATTGTCCCACCTCTTCACCTCAGAGTTCTCTCTCTCTTAAGGTCCTCTAATCTCCACTGGTGTGCCCCATGACTCTAGCCCTGGGTCCTGTCATGGCTTGAAGGCTTCTCTGCTGAGAAGAATCTCAATTCCCCAACCAGACAAGGAACTTCCCTAATGACCAGTAAAAATTCCTTAAGAATAAAAATTGTTCATTTTTGTCTTTATCCAGTGTCTTGCTCAAGTATCACATATATACTTGGACCAGACCGGTATTTTCATCAGTATAGGAAATTCCTAGGAGGTAACTCCCTCTACTACATCATCGTGATCAGCTCTATAATCTTGGAGTGTTGTCTGAGACATTGAATGGTTAAATAATTTCTGTATGTTTCAGAGGCAGAACTTAAACCCAGCTCTTCTTAATAGCAAATAAGCCAGGTTAGCTAGAACATTTAGTTTCTAAAGGAAAATAATGTGAAATAATCCTGGAGAAGTAGACTTTAGCAAGATTTGTTAAAGACTTTAAAAGCCAAATAAAGGAGTTTATATTTCATCCTAGAGAAGGGAGGAAGCCATAGGAGCTTCTTGAGAATGAAGTGATATAATTAAACATGCTTTAAGGGATATCACTTGGGCAACTCTTTGGAGGCTAGATTGAAGATCAGAGAAACTAGATGCAGAGAGTAATTAGGTTATGTTCTGAGGAAAAGATGATGAATGAATAAAAAAAAGTATATTAAGCGCTTAATATGTTTAAAAGTCTATATTAAGTGCTGGGGATAGAAATAGGAGAAAAAAAATAGTCCAATAGGAGCTCCCATTCTAATAGGGAAGACATGTAAAAGGGGTTTTAGTTTGAAAGTCTGATGGAAAAATCCAGTAGTCTTTAGAGGGCAGCAGCAAAGCAGATACTGATGCATCTTCAGTGTCATTTCTATTGACAGTCATGTCAGTTTCTGACGTTAAACGTTTGCTGATGCCAAGGACTTTGTGGTGAGAACTTTCTTGTCCAGTTCTTTAGTAGTTGTGGCTTCTGAGAAGGGGGTATTGCTGTAGCTACATAGAAACAGTTGATAAGTCCCAGCTTCACAAGGGTTACTCACCTGGATGGTGACTTTGAGGGCCAGCCTGGTAGTACAGTTGGTCTGGGGTGCGGCATGGTGGTATTGCTACTCCCAGGGCTCTGGGGTTAAATTGCCCATTGTGGGTAGGGATGTTGGCCCTGTTCTCCAGGGTTTGCTCCCATGTATGATAGCTGCAGGGACCAGGCTGAGAAGATATGCTGAAGACCTGAAATACTAGGGTGGTTGTGGAGATAAGAGAATGGGTGTGAAACATGTGAAGGGTAGAATCAACAAGACTTAATAACTTATTGGATATGAGAAATGGGTAAGAGGTAAGAGTTGAGGATGATTCTAATGTCATAGATGTGGGTGATTGGATGGATTATGTTGCCCTCAACAGCTAAAGGTAAGTTAATGTGAGTGGAGTATGGATAAGGGGGAGAAGGAATAGGAATTTGAAAAGAATGAACTCATGCATTTACTACATAGAGATGATAATTAAGCCCATAATACCTGATGAGTTCGATGATAATACACAAAAGAAGGCAGCCCAGGACACTCCTAATAGGCTAACATTCATGGGGGTGGGCCGTGAATCCATCAAAGGAAACAGTTGCCTCCAGTGCTTTGAGCAGCATGCAACTAGGAATGGAGACTGTGGGTAATGGGGATAACCTAGGATTGTGATATCACAAGGAATGAGCAATTCCTTAAGACAAAGATAAACCCTTATAGAGTGGTTCAGGCACTTTCCCTACCCCATCCACTCTGCCGCCAAGGGTACCTTTCTCCGCCTAGAAGCATCAAACATCCCACCCGAGCCATAATTATGCAAAAAGATTTTGAGAGCTTTCCTTAATTCCCACCACAAGTCTTCAGATCCATAAACCCTACTCATAAAGGGAGGTCCCCTAGGAACCATTTTTAGTGCTTGTCCTATACCAAACCTGGCTTCTTTAAGAGCAACTGTCAGGGCAGCTATGTGGTGCAGTGGATAGAGTTCCAGCCTTGGAGTCAGAGGGACCTGAGTTCAAATCCAGCCTCAGACACTTGACACTAGCAGTGTGACCCTGGGCAAACCACTTAACCCCGAGTGCCTCACCAGAAAAGCAAAAAAAAAAACCGGTCCTCCAAAATATCCCTCTCCTCCACCTGCTTCATCCTATTGTGGGTAGGCCTGCAGGTCACCACATCTACTTTTGCTGGGACTGTTCCAATTTCCCCACTGAGCTGTACTCAATAAAAGCTGTAATTACAATTTCAAGCTATAACTGTCAAATACCTCCCTTGAGCTGGAATGAGTCGTAAGCAGGAGACAAGCAGCAACAGGGCAAGGGATTTGAGAGCTGAGAACAGTGTATGATTGAAGTGGTTGACTAAATGGGGTCATGAGAAAAGTAAGAGCCGAGCCTGGGATAAAGCAACCCGAGATCATAGTAAGGATGAAGAATGTGTTTAGGTGTAGGACAGAGGAAGGATAGGTTTTGATCATGGAAGTTAGCCAATGATGATGGTTAAGATCAAGGGTAGTAATGATAATAGCAATTGTTGTAGCACTTTTAAAGTTTACAAAGCATTTGTTACCTCATTTGGTCCTTAAAACAAGAGGTAGGTACTATTGATAGCCCTATTTTACAAATGGGGAAACAACTTGAGAGATTAAGTAACTTGCCAGTAAGTCTGAGATCGTATTTGAACTCAGATATTCCTCTCTCCTAATTCAGCACCCTATCTCCATTTCACCACCTAGGGTATGAATACTCCTTTGTGGCTTAGATGGAATAAAAGGGATGGGAGTAGAGGTTGATGAACTGGGAGACCAGAGTGTTTGAAGGGACATTAATCAGCATGTATATTTAAGTCTTTAGTCAGTCAACAAATATTTAAGTGCTTACTGTATGCCAGGGTCCAAGTAAAAAGGCAGAGGTTGGAGTGGAGAGGAAGGTCGAGTCAAATACTGAACTCTAAAGAAAAAAAATGACCTAGAGGCTGGTAGATGACTGAATAGGTGATGTGGATACATGGAATCAACTTCAAAGGAGGAAAGATTGCTGAAGAAGGAGGATCTGAAGTGGCAATGAGAAGGCAGGAGCATGACTTTCTCCTGGTCCATTGTGTCCAGGGGCTGAAGAAAGAGGGCACCTCCAGTGTTCGAGAAGGGATGCAGTATCTTGGAAGAAACAGGTTTCTGGTTTTTTTTTTGTTTTTGGTGACGCAATCGGAGTTAAGTGACTTGCCCTGGGTCACGCAACTAGTAAGTGGGGAAACAGGTTTCTGTGAAAAGGAAAAGGACTCAGATGGGAAGGGGAAATGGTTAGCAATAGAATGAGCCTACAAATGTAATTCATCTTTAATTTGATACCGTTGCTCAATCTCACACTATGATCTTCCTGGCCTAGAAGAGTGGCCTGGTTTTAATTAAGGGAGTACAAAATTGCTTCTGGAGTTTTTTGTTTTTTTATTTTTTAAATTTCAGTCTGGAAACTTAGTTAACCAGAAGTAAAGCCTCTATCAAGTAGACTTTCTTGGCTTATGTCATTTGCAGACATTTTTTGCTTGTAATCTAAAAAGATTATAATTTAAACACCATTGCTCTAATTTGTAAGTGACAATACCAGATGAACAATAAATTATCAATATTGAATATGTGTGAACAGAGGTGATTTCAGCTGTGCTGGTATCCAAAGTCCTCCAGTCACATCCCAAGTACCAAGAAGTCAACCCCCTCTCATCTGATGGGCTTTGAATTCTTTGTGTAGGACTGGGGCCCAAGGTGTCTTTAACAGAATAGGAGAACAAGGGAAGGTCTCAGGGCTTTGTACTAGGCAGTAGACTGGGCAAATTTGTCATTACATTGCAGTCCCCAAGACAGTCAAAGATTCTAGAAATCTCGAACGTATTGGTGGTCATTGCAGAGTAGGAAAAGAGGACTAGGTGACTTCACTAGAGGATCTCCAAGATCCTATCTCTAAATTCTATGAAGTAAGCAAAAACAGGAAGCTATTCTAAATCCCAGCCCCCTCCCAACTTTGACTCCCAGATCTGTAACCAACGTTGACTCAGACCTCCCTATTCGTTAAGGGAGAAGTTAAAACCCAGAGTCCATACCTCTAAATTAGTGGTTTTGTTTATTCCCTTAGGCAGCTGAGTGGCATGGTGCTGGACTTAAGAGTCAGGAAGGACAGAGTTTGAATCCTGCCTTAGACACTCAGACACTTAACTGTGGGGCCCCAAACAAGTCTCAGTTTCCTCGTCTGCAAAATGAGGATAATAATGGCCCCTGCTTCAAAGGCTATGTAAATGCTTGTTATTATCCAAACTCTGAAATCTTGTAGTTATTAACATTTTTAAGGCAGAGGTCAGTATCTACCCCTCTGCTATGAGAATCACCTCCATTCTGCGAAGTATACAGGTTAAGACAGATCGGGTCTGAGACTCCAGCCAAGAAACTGATGGGAGTGAAGCCACAAATACACCACCCACCTAGGTATATTTTTAAGGCTTACATGTAAGAGAAGAATAATGTTCTTTAAGGGGCACTAGGAAAATCCCCTTATAGAAAAATTACGCTACATGAAATTCTACCAATTATGGGTTCTTTGCCATTTGGAAGGAGGGAGCTTTAGTTTTTCTCATCCTGGTATAAATTACTTTTATCAAATTACTTA